TGCAGGCACTCCCTCTGGCCTGCCTGCGCTTTGCTCTTTACCTGTATTCAAAGGGTATTAAAAAAAATTAACAAGCCCTGACTACATAAAAGGAAGTTGCTGAATTTACAACCCAGCCTGCAGCTAGACCACCTTGCCTGCCGAGCAGGTTTGGACCAGGCCAAGTCTGCCATGGGAAACCCACTGCGGAGCGGCAGGCTGATAAGGGAGGCTGATGGGGTGATAGGAGATAGGGCTCCAGCCCTGCTCTGCCGCTCCTGGGCTGCTGCACTGCAGCCAAGCAGCCCGGCAATGCGGGCAGTGCCCTCCTGCAGCGGGACCCCGGGCTGGAGGCTCCCCATCGGCAGTCTGAACCTGTCAGCGTGGGTCCCAGCAGAGCAAAAATCGCACGTCGGATGCCGGATGGCATCCCTGGAGCCTGAGGCCAATTCAGCCGTGCTCGTCGCAAGCTCCTCTGCTATTTCGTAGAACTGCAGCACTTCTGCACCCTGAGCTGTGGCTGGGAGACGGAGGCCGCTGCACGTCAGCGGCAAAAGCAGCGGTCGCGGGTGCTCTCTCTCGGGGGATGCTCCCGTCCAGCACTGGCCTGTGGTTCAGCTTTGACTGTTACATGCCAAATTCATTTAAGGGACATCCACTGCGCAGTGGGCAAACGTAATTGAGAGGAGCAGAAAAGCAGTTTAAAGATAGGCACAGAAGCCTGCGGAGTCTGAAAGCAGGCAGGAAACCCATCTTAAGCGTGTTCCTTCCTTTGAGGCTGAAGCTGAATCCCACAATATGTTTTCTTCCCACTAATGCTTGCCTAGCTTCCTTTGGAAACAATTTAGTCTCTGCCCATGGTAGAATGTTTTTATCCATTAAGAAACGGATATTTTAAAGAAACCATAAGTCGATCTGGACAGGGATTAGGAAGCAGCAATTCAGTGTATTTGCTGGGCCCATAATTCAGGACTTAACCTCAGAGCAGCCACGTTGCATTTCAGAAACAATAGGGCACTCGCTGCCTATGCCAAGAGGCTTCTTAAAAGTAATGTAATACTTTAAAAATGTATATTTAAAAAGAAAAAGAGAGAGAGATTTTACTTTAAATGCATATGGTGAGGCATTCTGCTGATGACTGGCCTATGTTAAAAACATTGCACGGGCTTTAAGTAATGGATTGGAAATCAAGCTGGTTAAAGCTGAGCTGTTTCCAGATCAGGAGATCTGAAAGCTCTTCACCAGCAAAGACAATGTCTCCCAAACTGTTCAGCAGACACTAAGGCTGGGAGAGGCAGGATGGAGTTTGCAAAAGGATCCAGCGTTTACTGTTCTCCCTGTGAAGTCAAGGGAATTTGGTTTCACTGGAGCAATATGAAGAGGGTGCAAGGGGATTTAAGTGCATTAATCAAAACAGCTTGCTCTGTTACTGAGTAGATCGAATTTAAAATCACTTTGCAATTGTCCTTGTGTACACAAGGCCCCTACATGTTGCTGGACAATGCACACAATTGCTTTTGCGTAGTTGAAGATGTTTCTACCACAGAGCTAGAACACAGGAGCCGGCCGCGTGGGCGGTCCTCCTCTGTTGCAATGGGAATAAAATGGTTCAGCATGAACCACTGCTGAAACATGGGGAAGGGCAAAGTGTCGTGCGGAGAATTGGGGGCTGCTAGGACCATCCAGGTTCTCCCTGGGAGGACGTGTGTCTGTCACCATCCCACTTCCCCAGAGCAAGGGGGCCCCGAGAAGCAGCCGAAGGCGGGCAGAAGCAAGTTCCTTTAACATCTTGCTTCACTTTTGAGAGCTACTTGATTTTTTTTAAGCTAGAAGACAAAACTCGAAATGAAGCAAGCACGCAAGGCTCTGGCTTCGCGTGCCCCATAATAAGGAACCATTTCAAGCCATCCTAATGACAGCTTGGTGTCTCGCTGCGGAGACAGGAGAGCCGGGATTTCAAAACCTCAGATTTTCCAGACTTCACTGGAGAAGTATTGGGCCAAATCCTCAACTGAGGCAAACGGCTCTGCTGAAGCCAGGGAAGCAGCACTGGCTGATGCTAGATGAGGGTCTGCCTGTCCTACCTGCCCGGCTACGGGGCCAGATTCTCATCACAGCTACACTGCGGTGAACCCAGAATTACCCTATTTTCGCCCCAAAGCAGTGGAAATGGGAATGAAATCTGGTGTGTGGAGGGCTGCAAAAGTCTGTCCCGTTTGCAGACAGGCACGGGAAGGGATTGATTCTCTGCCCATCTGCACGGGGGAAGGCAAGACTGAAGCCACTGAAATACACTGACACTGGGCAGTGGGAAACCAGCACGAGAGCAGGATCTGACCCGCTTGGCCACGGTGCTGAGCACACTCTCCTCCCATGTTTCCTGGCATGCCCTTCAGAAACAATCGGTTTTCTCTTACCGGGAGGTTTTTGGTTTGAAACCATTTAACCTCAGGATGATCGTTTTACATGGGGGCTATTTATAACCTCCAGGGGCTGCTTTACTGAAAGTCTTCTGCAAATGGCTGAGGGCCAGATTCTTCTCCCATTTACAGCAGCGTCCTTGCCGTGATCTCCGCTGTGGCCACAGCCTTTGCTCCCCGGGAGGAAAGATTGGACTGGGCCAGAGCAAACACACCTCCAAAGGACCTCAATTCCTCCCAAAGATCAACGCCTGTCTGCTTCAAAGCCCAAACTCCACGTGCTGTCTGAACACAGGATTTGAGGTGCCTGAATCCCCCCTCGGTGGCCGAGGCTGTTTCTGAGCATCTCAGCTCCCCAGCCCGGTTTTGCCAGAAGCGGATTAGGAAGCTTCGTGCAAACTGCTCGGTCAGCAGAACCGGGAGGCCAACCGCCTCCGGCACACGAGCGGAGGGCTGCCGGGCATAGGTGATCGCGGAGGGAAAACCTGTCTCTCCGCCTCTCGCTGGCCCCCTTTTAATCCCTGCACAGGGATGCAAGGATGCTGAAAACATTAAGGTCAGGAAGCACCCAGGTGAAGGATAGCGGGGGCCAGATGAACTCCAGCCTGCCCCGTTTGTCCCTCCTAACCGATATCTCGTTATGCTTTTTGCTAATCGGCTTCTCGTCTGTGTTACCTAAGAACGTGCCAAGTCGTGAGAATTACAGGCCTGTTAACTCCTGTGTTATTCTTGGCACGGGCCAGGCTCCACTTGCTTGGTAAAAATTATGATCTTTGTGAATAAGCCGTGTGTGTGTGAGAGAAAGAGGTTATTTTTTTAATTATTATTATGATCGGTTGTAGTCAGCGTTGTGTCAAAAGGACAGGGCTGAGATTAAAATTACTGAGCTGATTCTGCTCCCGGTTACGCTGGTAAGAACCCACAGTAATTTTAAGACAGTTCCTCCAACTTGGGAACAAGGGAGCCAAGAGCAGAGCGTGCACAAACTGCCTTTTGCAGCATTCCTGGTACTTTGGATTCACTCCGCAGGAATGACTTTAGATGGCTAATTTTGTGTGTCTCCACTCCTGCTGTCACTTGACATTTGGGAATTTGGCACAGACAGTAGCTTGTGGCCAGTTTCATTTTTTTCTTGTTGAATTTGTGTCATCACCTGATTCTTTGCTCCAAACGACGCTCTTTGGGTTTCTGGCACTACAGGGGACTGTGCTAATTTAAAATACGCATCTTTTTTTCTTCCCCCAAGAATATCTTTCTTTATTATGCAGCCAATGGGACGAACCTATAAAACTCTTTCTCTTTCTCTCTCTTGCTTTTTTTAACAAAAATCAAATCATAATCCTACACAAAATGCCTGGGTTCTTCTCATAAACCATGCTAATATCAATGAAAATTCCAAGCATAAAGATTTGCATTTCAATGAGAAAGAAATTAAATTTTCACTGTAATTTTGGGTTGGGAGGAGCGGGGCAGCTTTTACAGTTCGGGTAACATTTTCAAACATGTTTTTGCGCCTGAGACACCCTCTTTGCCAATGACACTGAGGTTTTCAAACATCTACGTCACTTCTGAAAACGCAACACAAAGGCTTTGGAACTTTTCATACGAAACCTTCCAAGAAGGGCCACTTTTCACCAAAACTCAAAATGCGAACAGCTTAAATACTATCCCTTAAATCCCCGTTAGTATTTAGGCTGATTTTCAAAGGAAAATATTGCCGGGATTTAAAATGCATGGAAAAGGAGCACGTCTCACGTGCAGACAGGAGAATGGTCTCTCTTTATACATCCTGGTGGCATCTGGCTGCGCTGAGCAGTGCGGCAAGCCAGAAGCAGCAAGGCAACTGGATATTTTCAAACGCAATGCCCAGTTTGCGGCTGAAATTCAGGTGCATGGGAATTAGCAGACTGACCTCTCTCGGGTAACTCTGGTGGCAATTCCTACCTCTTTCCTGGCAATAAGCTACGATGCAGATTCACGGGGAACGCCCGAGGGCTCAGCTATGCTGATGGCAAATATGGGAAGAGCAAAGCCTCTGTGTGTGAGTGTGTGCGCACGCGTGCAGCCATGCAGGTGTGCATACGTGTGGGGAATTATGCTGGAGTTGGGTGATGGATCACCAGACTTGGCAGAAACACAATGCAACAAGATAAGAAACCATTTGGATTAGCATGTAAAGTATAATACACCCTTTCTAGCTGATGCTTAACCATCTACGCGGGTGCCTTCATGTCAAAGAAGCTACTGGATTTGAAGTACGTTGCTCTGATCTCCCTCGCGTTCCTGCTGAAACTGCTCAGTTTTTCCTAAGACCCCACATCTAATGATGCACAGAGCGAAATCGCCTGGGTTCATGATTCGGCACCTGTCTGCTGATTTAATGGGTGCAAAAAGGCTTCCAGGGTCAAGAAACCCAACCAAACCCGTCCCTGGCTTGTCCCCCGGGCAGGGCTCCTTACCCAGGGGAGGGCTGGACTCCAGCCCTAAAATACCATCTAGAGGGAGGCTTGCTCGGCCGGGACGGCTCTGCTCCCTGCCCGGCTGTGTCGGGAGCACGAGGGTTCGGAGTGCGACGCCAGGTTGGGGCACCCAGCCAGTTACCTTGTATTGGAGTTTGAGCCTGGGACCCAAAGTGGCTTGGGGTGCTGAGGGATCCGCGGGGGTTGGGTGTTGTTGGGGTGACTCTCATGGACTGGCGCAGCCGTTCCAGCTCCCCGTAGCGGTCGGTGAAGGGTTTGGCTTGGTCTTCTAGCTTTTGTCTGTGCCCTGGAACATGATAAGAGAGTCTGATATCTAATCAGTTACCCTTTGGCTAGAGCGCCCCGATTAAACACAAAGTCAGCGCAGCCTCCATCTTCGCGGTTTGCTATTATTCGCACGGGGGTAATGCGTGGCGGTCCCAGCGGAGATCGGCTCCCCGGGGGCTTTGCATGGCACACACGCGCGGGAAGAGCTCGCAGTTCAGACAGACGAAGCCTGCTGAAGAAGGGACACGGACTGACCCATGCGGGAGGCCCCAGATCATCCGGCAAGTCAGCGTGCGATCAAGGAGCAGGATGCGGGCGCCAGGGTCAGGGTGCCCTGTGCCGTGCCTGAGTGACCAGCCTACACCAGCCCTCGCTCTCTCCGAACAAGGAGGGGAGACACGTGCAAGGCAGGAGAAACCCCATCTCCTGGCAGGGTGGTGATTGGGGAACCAGCAAAGGAAACAGTGAATTTTAAGTATCTTCTACAGCGTTTGCTCAGTGCACAAAGAATAAACTCTCATCTTACTCCAGCCCCCTCCCCAGCTCTGCCCACCCAACGGGGCCAGAGCCAAGCAGGGCTGGAGAGGGTGCAGGAGGAGGGAAGGGAGCAGCCTGCCCACGGCACCGCACCTTGGCCGTCTCACTTTGCTTCTTTCTGTTCCTCTTTTCCTACCCATAAAATGGGGAGACTATTCACCTACCTCCCCCAGGCAGGGCAGCAACTAATGAGCGTTTGTAAAGCACTCCCAGCTCCTTAGGTAGCAGCTGCTGGAACAGGGCAATAATTATTAAATTTATGCTAATTGTCCTGAGGCAAGAGGCGCATGAAATACACTTGATACATAACTTTCGCATTTTACTACATTAATCATCGCTGAACGGCTTCACTCTCTCTGGGCCGGATTCCAGTCTCAGTTACACCCGCACAAAACTGGAGAGACTCCAGAGAAGCCGGAGCTGCTTCAGTTTTACATCAGTGCCGGGTTCAGACCTTGGATTCTCCTTGCTCTTTACCTGCCGCAGCCGTGCAACACCCCCAGCTCTTTGCACCTGTCATGAAAGGACCTTCCCAAGGTGGCAAAGGCCTTATCCCGGCGTAATCGAGAGCAGAGCTCGGGGGCACTGGAGGTGTGCAGGCACGCCGGGGAGGTAGGAGAGGAGCTGGGAAGAAACCCTTCTGCAGCTCTTCTGCGAGCTGAGCCTTATCAGATGCAGCCCTATGGCCAACATCCACCAAGTCAAGCTCAGTTCTTGGTGGCTTTTAAGAAGAAAAGCGATGCATTTGAAAGGTGAAAAACGCAACCACCTCTTGCTCATGCCCTCCCCTTCCCTCCCCCCTTCACATCTGCGTAGCGTGAGCTCGGTGTCAATTTATAGCAAAGTCACAGAAAGTCCCCAGACTTCCCCCTCTTTAAATCTGATGTCTGATATCTTCTGATCTTGCATTTGCTTGGCTCGTCGCGCTCAGGCTGTGCTTGCCAGGCTGTCTGTGGAGACGCCGGATGGCTCGGACGGGAGGGGAGAACATCGACTCTGGAGGGGATCTCGTGCTCCCAGCTGAGCTCCCTGCCACGGCGACGCTCCACGGGTATCCCAACAGCAAACCCCCCCCAGCCACAGTTTTTGAGGGGCTTTGACCCTCCTCTGGGAGCTCCACATCCAAGTGACCCCCACCATCTCCCCAAAACTCTATAATCCCCCAGGCTCCTGGGTGTGTAAAAGTTCAAACCGAACGAAAACGTGCTGACGCCAGAGAGCAAAACGTGGTAAGGACGAACTCCCAGCAGAAAGCAAAAGCCAGTGGTATTTTGAAAATGTATTTTCCCTGCTGTGTGAAGTAAACCAAGGAAACCTCAAATCGACACCATAAACCATCTCTTCTAATCTCTGTGCGTCCCTAGACCTTGGGCATCTCTGCATTATCTGAGGGCCTTCGGAAACATGAGCAGCATCTGTCACACGGTATTTGTGCTTTCCCCAAGGGGCAAAGCGTGTGCAGTGAGGTGTCTTGTTTTGGTCCACATTTTATTATTTCAGTATACATTTGAGCACAGAAGAAGAAAAATAGGTTTACGTTTTTCCTTTAACCAGTTTTCTCAGGCAGAGCTTAGCAGAGAAGCCAAAAGGACTTCAAAGACCAAGTTCCACAGAAATTTAATGGAAATTAAATTCTCTGCCTCTATCTCAGCTGAAACCCTATCCTGCGGTAGTATCTGGCATGTGACGGAGAAAATCCTGAAAAATAAATCAAGCGATCTCTATGCTGATAATATTTTTAAAGATTATTCAGCCGTACGGACTTAACTGAGGGCTTCATGTGGCTGCATCATGCTGCACTGTGGTTGATCTGGTCCCCATGCTGTCTGAACGCGGGCACAGCCCCGTGGAGTTTTTAAGCCTCAAGTAAATAGCAGTGTTGTACTTACACCCTCTAAAAGGGGCTGGTTTGCAGGGAGACCCAGCAATTACCAGCAAAAAAACCCCCAAAACCTAAAACTACCCTCAGAAAAAGAAAGCAGAAAACTTGATGCAAGTATAAGTCAAGGCAAACACAGGGGCTCATTTAGGAGTGAAAGCCCAGAGGAGAGCTGCGGCGCGATCAGGACCCTTCCCAGCTCTCCTAGACCCTCTCCGGTTCGTATCCCACCCCATCCACACGGCGGGACCGGGCAGCGCTAAACTGTATGAAACAAGGCAGCGAATGAGTTAAAAACCGCCAGCTTGGACTGCCAACCCTCTTTGGTACAGGCTGTCTCCCCAGGACTTCCTGCCGCTTGTCACTTCGAGCTAGGGACGTCAGATTTTGTCACGCAAGAGAGAATCGCTATTAATGGGTTTCTTTCATCAGAACAACCTGAGCTTTTTAATTTCTGCAGCGGTTGGCTTCATTAAAAGCCCTTCCCCATCTACCCACAGCTGTCACGGAGAGGAAACCAATGCCATCAAGTGAACAATAGCTCATACCTTAGAGAAGAGGAAGGTGGTTTCTAGCTTAACCCAAGGACTGACTCAAAGCCTCCCGAAGCCAGTGGGCGGATTTTCAATCGACTTCAAACAGCTTCAGACCTCATCCTAAGAAATCTGTCTGAGAAGTCTTAATCACCCCGACCTGTGAATTTTGGGGCACGAAACCTGCTGTTGGGTCGGAGATTTTGCACTGCGTTTCCAGCTGTGCCAGCACTGGCTTGCAGGTCAATATTTATGGAAACAACAGTCCTTAGTACTATAAAATGATGGCAGCTACTGACCTTAGGCACTTCTTGTCAACAGCGCAAGGGTTTTAACGCTGGATCGGGTTTCCGAATCAGTTAACTCCGATATTGAACATGACATGATGTAAACACTGACAGATCACCTACAGTCCTGATGTAGTAACAAGATCTGTATCAGCATATCAAACAAACGATCCCATTGAACACTTCCCAGCTGGAAGAGCCGATGTGAATTTGACACTTTAGGCCAGTAATAAGAAGCATACTGGAAGTTTTGGGTGTTTTCTTGGAATGCAGACAGCGAAACAGTGCGCGCCACACTGGAGCTCAGGCCCTCAAAGCTATGATTTAAAGACATGTTTTCTGCATTAAAATATTTCAAAGACCAAACAGACCCTGCTCTTCCTTCTAGGAGTGTGCAACCTGATGTGGCTTCCAAAGCTGGGACCTGGATGGGGTTTCCAGGCTGGGGGGTGGGGGGGATGTCCACGGTGTTCACCAAAAGCAGCTTATTTCCCCAGATTACTGGGATGCAGAATATAAAGTTGATCAGAGGTAGAAAGGGGCTCCAGGAATTTCATGGCTTGAGTGATACCAAAATCTCCGAGCTGGCAGATTTGATTTGAAAAAACACCCTCTGGGGTGCCTGGGGGTCCCGGTCCCCTGATTTATCTGTGTTTAGATGCAGATGGGGTTACTGTCGGGAGAGGCAAGGAGCTGCACAGCCTGCCCTCTGCCCTTGGGGGGTTCGGATTTGGGTGTCACGTTCATCCCCGTCCCTTGCCGTAGCCCCATGCTACCAAAGGATGGGAGGAGAGCAGATGGTGGGAAGTGGCTTGGCCCTCCCCAGGCGTCTTGCTGCGAAACGCTGGCGGCAAGCTGGAGCGAAGGAAACGTGGAGCGTTTCAGCTCGGGGGGGGGGATGTTCATTGACACACACATTTGCAGATCATTTCCTTAGCTCCACTGAGGAGGAGACAAGAAACGGGAGACAGTAGCGTGGGCTAGGGCAGCAGCTTGAGCCGAGCCATCAGCGGCCGCAGAGGCCCCCACTGGTCCACCTTGAAAGTAAGGCTCCAAGCATCCCTCCGGCAAGCTTCCACCATCCTTCACCCAAAGCTCTGCTCAAATATGAACAGCCAAACTCTATGGCTTAGCCGAGAAGGAGCTCACCAGGAGCAGCCCGTGCAGCCATGCCGCATGCAACCCAGTGGCTTAGTCTCTACACGTCCGTGAGAATGGACCACAAGAAAGCAATCAGCAGTGGATAAAACTCCAGCTCAATGCGCAAAACACTTTTCGAATCTCTCCCGTAGCCCTCAAAATAGGTACTTCAGAGAGACACACCAATCCTCTACAGAGGGTTTTTCCCAGTCTGAGTCTCGGCTAGACTATCAAGCCCCAGCATGCGCTCCAGAAACAAGCCACATGTGAAATGCCTGTATTATGGGAAGAGCAGGCCTGTCCCTTACAGCAGGTGTTGGAGCGGTTTCCTCTTTGCACATCTATAACACAAGACGTGAACGTCCCTCAGGTTTTCCCTGGAAACCCACCTCCGGCTTGAGACTCGCCATAGGAAATTCCTGGCCAAGAAGAATTTGGTGGAGCCCCACGGCCAGCGAAGGAAGGACGGGAGGACAGCGTGGAGATGGGAACCGGGCTGCCCGCAGTGCCGGCAGCTGGAAGGGACTCAAATATGACGTCTCCACGGAGGATGATGGAGAACTCCACTGAGCTCCGGTGAGTAGCAGCAGCTGGCAAGTGCCAGCGCTACTTCAGCCCACTTCTAAAAGTCGAAGCCCAGAAG